ATATATATAGAGAGATCTAAACTCAAACTTATGAGATACTTTTTATAAGATAAAATCATGAAAACTTCAAATTAAAGCGAATAATACCTAGTATAACACCATAATCTCATATCGAGATAATCTAAGATTTTGCTAATGATATATATATATATATATATATATATTTAAACCTAAACTTGTAAAACACTTTTTGTGAAATAAAACTGAGTCATTCGGGTCAAAACGGACAATACCTCACAGGTTGGGTTCAAATATCTATAAATGGTATTAGAGCGACCATCAGTCGTATAAGAGATAAATACTACACCGTGAGAGCCATCTCTAGAGTCTCAATGTTTGGTATGATCCTGTGATTTATATGTGCTTTGTGTTGGGCTTAATGGGGATATCAAGCTTTAACAGAGGGAGTTTGTAACACTTCAATCCCACATAGGGATAATTTGAGATTCTGCTAATGATACATATGTAAAGATTTAAATCCAAACTTGTGAGATGCTTTTTATAGAATAAAATCGTGAGACTTTTGGATCAAAGTGGATAATATCTCTCAGATTGAGTGTAGGTCTTCACACCTCACAGGTTGAGTGCAAGTGTCCATAAATGGCATTAGAGTGATAAGTACTACACCATAAGAGTTATCTCTAAAATCCTAAGAAAGTTAAATGCTATGCAGTAGGAATCACTTCTAGAATCACAATGTCTAGTATGATTTTGGCTCCATGATTTTATGTGTGCAATTATGTGCTTTGTGTTGACTTGAAGAGGATATCAAGTTTTAATGAAGAGAGTATGAGACACCCCAATCCTACATCAAAAGATTCTAATAATTTGTTATAATATATAAATAAAAATTTAAATATAAATTTATGAGATGCCTTTTATAAAACAAAACCATTATACCTTTATATTAAAATGGATAATACCTCATAAATTGAGTTTGAATCTCTATAACTAATTCATCAAATCCCATAGAGTTTACTCAATTCTACTCTAAGTCAGATACTCTTTCAAAACTCACTCTCATTTTATCTTCTTTGATTTTTTTTTCCATGATACACCTAACGTTTAAAACTCGAGATTTTCCAAATGAGAGTTTCACGTTAGATTATGAAGTTTTTCATAGGAAGAGAAAATGTTTACCTATATTTGTATTCAATATTTATTCATAAAAATATAAATAAATTCTTTGATTTTGAACGGTATTCTTTTCACCAATATAATATAAAAATTGAAACTTTGGTGTGTTAAGTGGGTGCAGAAAGATCCAATGATATTGGAGAGTGTGAGATTGTGCATTGCCAAGGCAGTAGACAAGGCTACAGCTCATGGTTACAATGTGGAAGGTGGATTGAAAGTAATTGCTCCACCTGTTAAAACTTTTTTCTTCATAAATGATGTTTCAGACGATAATTTTTTTTAATATTTTATTTATTTATCTCATATCCATTTGAGTTAGTACTGTCTTTTAATCATGAATAAGTTGCATGATTAGATTCAATGGTGCACCACGTTCAAAATACGAGTCAATCTCACTGAATTTTTAGAAAACTTAATTTAATATAGATATAATAGGTAACTTAATTTAGTATAGGTATTTAGTAAGCTTTTGTATAATTTACTTATATTTATCCACTAAAATTAATAAAAATCCAAAAAATAGTAAAAAATTTCTTAAAGAAGCTTATATATATTATGGTTATAAATTTTTTATTCAACACAATTTAATTACTAATAAAAATATTCGTATAAAATGTGAAAGGTGACATATTTTCAAAATAATAAATATGATGTCGTATTTATGTAAAAATAGTTGAAATGTAATTCCATTGAAAAAAGTTTTTGGTTATCCCCTAACTTGATTTATGCATTATTAGATGGCAATCAAACAAAAACTTAGTTTTGATCTAAAAATATACAAGATAATTACAATATTAAAGTTCCTTATCTTATTGCATAGTAACATCAAAAATAAATTTATTTATTTAAAAATTTTAAAAAATTTTGTACCCTCAACAAAGCAATGGTTGCTCGTGTGATATATAATATTATATTACAAAATACAAAGTTACTAGATAAGATTTATTGATGTAAATATTTACGTGGATATATTTTTTTCAATACATAAAAAAAATTTTAAAACTTTTATTATAATAACACATAAAATATTTTTTAATTTTAGATTATTTACCAAAAAAATTAAAAATTATTTACTTATCCAAAACTTTCAAATTTTAAATAAAAGACAAATTCATATGTGTGTGTATATATATATATATTATAAAATTTATAATATTATCTATAATTAACTCTCTATTATTTTTCATTGCAAGTGTTGCTCCAATTTTAGTTATATCTTTTTACAGAAGATCTTGATTTTAAATTTATAAGTGCTGGTTTCATATTATCAACATTTTTTTCAATTTAAATTTAAAATAATTAAATAGATAAAATTATTCATTTAAAATGAAAAGTAAATTATAATATAAATATGAAAATTTAAAAATTAATCTTATTTAATTCAAATTTCATTAGTTATATAGATATTTCTCTTTTTTAAATTTTAAAATCTCAAAAATAGATATTTTCACCTTTATAAATTTCTTATATTCATTTTTTTAAAACATTTTAAACTTTTTTTTAAAAAATCTTAGTTATTTTTTTAAAATTCAAAATATATTTATCAATTTGAAAATTATCTATATATTTAATTATCATGCAATAAAACCATAATTGGTATGTTTTATACTATTTTTTTTTCAATTTATAACTTTTTTTGAAAAGTATACTATTATTTTTATAATTTTATTCTTATAAAAATTTAATATTTATTTCAATTAATTTTTCTTTTAACACTTATTTACTATTTTTTTTTCATATTTTGTTTTGGAGTTTCGATAATTTATCACAAAGTGATAATATATTCATACATATTTATTAAAATTCTTATGTTTTATAGGAAATTTATTAAAATATAACTTACTAGAATATCTTTTTTCTTAAAATTATATTTTTTTGGATTTTTGGCATTTTTTTCCTGATCTTAACCTATTATCAAGAATTTTTTTTTTTATACTTTTCACATTTCATATATTTTAGAAAATTTTGCTTTGTTATGAATTAGTTCTTTAGATCATACAATTTACTTCTTATAAAATAAGTACTATCATTTTTTTTAAAAAAAAATACTCATCTTATTGCGTATTTCGATTCATGAATAATTATTTTGGATCAATCGATTAGGTACCAATGACAAAAATATTATTTTTTTTGCTTTTATTTTAAGATAAATGACTCAAGAAATGTTAAATTTAATTGTATCATATATCACCACCATTGGTCTAAAATTTATAATTATATACTTCCAATATTTTAAAAAATACCATAAAATAGTTTATAAATCAAACTATTTTGTTTACCACTTAAAAATTTTCTTTTCACTTTTATCATGTAAAAACATTTTATTCTTTACATATTTCCTTAATTCACTTTAGATAATTCATAATCCTTGAACAATTTAAATTTTTTCTTTATTTTTTTATCATGAATCAAATAGATTATAAATATATATATATTTAAAAAAAAAAACTTTAAGATTAAGATGTGATAAATTATTTTTTTACAAATAAAAAATTAGAGCATATATTCTTTGATTAAAATAATATAAAATTAAAATGAATTAAAAAATTTTGTGTATTGGACAGGTTAAAAAGCTAGTTTTATAATATTGCACTTACTTGTAAGAAGCATCACTACTGCTAGCTTTGCCACAAAATGCTTCCAAGCTCTTATCTGATATTGCTTTAGCTCAAAAGCACACTGAGCTTCCTGCAAGAATTGCCACCTGGTCAATGCAATTGGATGAACAGTGTTTCAATTCTTTTTCCTTATTTTTACTACTTCAGAATCAGTCGACTCCCATAGCTGAACAAAAGGAGAAGAATAATAATTAATCTAAATTTTAGCAATTAATATTTTATAAAATTGAGATTCAAATACTTGCCGCACCTGCAATCTAAATTAGGGTTTCTTTTGTAAAAAGGAAAAAGAAGGAGAATAAGAATTAAGCAATAAACAGAAAGCAATCTCTGGGAGAAATAAGATATGACTGGTCTCTGAGGAAGAAATATTTATAGTACTTCTAAACCTGTAAAACACCTTTCAACGCGTAACTCGCCTGAATCTTTCAACTTACAGGCAATTAAGTAAAGAATTAAAACTTTAAGGCAATAAAGTAAAGAATTAAAACTTTAAGTGCAGCAGAAATTTCATTATTCTCAAGAAAGGTAAAAGAAAAAGGTCATCCAACGACTGCATTTTTCCATGGATTCTGCTTTTACCTTAAGTTAATACTTTGGGATTGCATTTTATAGTCTTCACAAAATGAGTATTTGGTGATTAATTCATATCTGAAAAAGCAGAGAATGATCAATTAAGGTTTTGGACATTGATGCACAAAACTTTTACTGTTTTTATAACAAATGGGTATAGTTCGATTCTCACATGACAATTGAGTGGTGTGGAAGCAAAGGATTAATGGAACATAATCACAAAAGTTATAATTTAAGGTTAAATTGTAAATATAAATCTCATGTCAATTAAATATGATATATCTTGATATTTAAATATAGAGTTAATTATCCTTTTGGTCAGCCCGTTTGATTGCTGAGAGATGGGCTTGTCGAAGTGGAATATAACAATGACCATGATTTAACATTTAATCAGATTATGATATTTTTAAAAGTTTCCCCATCTGATGGTTTTGTTGCAACTGCCATAAGAATGAGTCAGAAAGGCCCAACAACTTACAGGTGGAAGTGGAATTGATACAGTATTCGATCTAGATAGGCCCAAGTTCTTGCTCTCATAACGGCATTTGGCAAATCTTTATAGGAAATTCAATCAGAAGATCATACAGGAAATCATGCATCTACTGGACCTAAATAATAACATTAATAAATAAATTAAAAAAAAAAAAAACCAGGCTCATTGACATTTTGTGTTTAAGGTGAGAATGGAGCCATGTTGAGCTCATCCTCGTCTGTTTCTTCATCTTTGCGGATCTGAGTGCTTAAACCAAGCTGTGCCATAAGAAGGGCAACATTAGTAAGCAACTCTCCACCATGCCTCAATTGTTGTGCATGCTCTTCCCAAGAACAATGGCTAGCAGCATGAATCATCATCTCCATCCACATCTTACTAATCGGTTCCCATTTCTCTTGGTGATCCAACAGACGCTGAGTGACTAATTTTTGCAGTGTCCAGGCAAACCATTTCCCACCACTTATCACTTCGATTCTATTAGTTTCCTCGAGAATATCATTGTAACCAAGCACCGCCGAAGTGAATCTTTTCCCGACAGAATCTATTTTTCTCATTTTTTTGGTGGTGTTCTTCGCTGGGAAAAAAATTTTGGCTGGGGGGTAGTTTTCTTTGTTTATCACTTCACTGAACCGTTTAGGCAGCATCAATGGACGGACGAGTACGATGTACATCGTGTAATCAGACAAGGACTTGGCAATATGGCAAAATGAACCCATCGTACCTCTTCGAAATCTGTCAACATCATCGTAGTAAACAAGCTCTGTAGCAAAATGCCAAATAAAAATGCGTTCTCTAAAATCTGTTATGTCCAGTTTCAATGCCCCTTTCAATTCCTCACTAACAATACCTATTTCATCCAACAAATTTTCACCTTTCCCATTTAACAACTTCTCTGGATCTTCAAGTCTGAAAACCTTCTCGGCCCACTGCAGACGTTTCTTTTCCAGACGAGAATAGATGAATTGCTTCAATTCACAATCAACTGCCTTCCAATTGGTATGCCAGTACTTCTGTAGAAGATTACCAATGTCATTAATCCTAACAGCATCTTTGAACTTATTTTTATTGGCCTCGACGTAATAATTTATTAGATCATGTTGCGCCATTGATTTGATCGCCATCTTGGATTCAACCAAAGGCAATCTCCAAGCAACAACCTTGGAGTACAACTTATGTACCTTGTTTTCAGGAATGGGCAACCAGACCATTGCCCATGTAGAGAGAGCGTGCATTATAAATGAATATATGTCCAGACAAATAGCTCCCAGCAACAGCAAATGCATAACGACAATGTCGACTTTTGAATGCACACTCTTATCCACAATTGCTGAGAAAGTAATCAGTGAAGACACAGCAGACAGAAAGCAGAAGGCTCGAAGACATAAACTCACTTTAGCCTGAAGGTGATGTATGGCCATCTTGGTGAAGAGCAAATCGTAAAGGTATCCCAGTTCAGTCCCGACCAATTTGAAGGCTTGGTTCGCAGATTTAGACTTGATGTAAACCATGTCATCATAAAATTTTGGGGAAAGCCTAAATGGGAGGCCAAGAAAGAGAGGCTTGAAACTAATGAAGGATGAATAAGCTTCACGGAGTAAGTTGAGATCAGAAACATTGGCTTTGCCTTCAAAACAACGGTTTATTGTGCTGATCATTTTTTCCGGTCTGGTAGCTTTTCTTTTAGAAGGGGACAATGAATTTATGAGCTCCTTCTCACTCGCAGATCTGAGAGCACATATCCTCTCTCCATACTTGAAAACTCCGGCAATGAATATCGGAGCAGCCATAGAATTGAGGATAGTGTCTGATCGAAATCTAATGTAGATGTAAATTGCCTCTAAAACTTGGAACACCATGCCCAGAAAGTGTCTTAACCACAGCTTATTGTCTTCTATAGAATCAGCTGTAATGTTGTGAGGGCTGCCGAGATGCCACAAAATGAAGGGCGTCCAAAATACAACAAGGCCATTTTTCGGATTAACATCGCCCCTAAGAAGGGTGCTCAGCACAAGAGTTGCCATCCAATCTGCTGACAAATACACTAACCATAAAGCTATTGCAGCTTAAGGCAACTTTTTCCCAATGTATCCTCGTCGAAAATTCCCAGATATGACAAGAACAAGCTGGAGAATACTGCTGACTATAATCATCAGGCGAAGCTCCCATTCACTCCAAAATTTTGTTGTAATTTCTGTAAATATTTTCTTCTAAGACCGAATTCTTGAGCTCTACGTAGATGAGAGAAAAAGCAACTGAAATTTCAAAAAAGTTTTATGTAATTAATCATCAATGTTCTCGATAATCAGAAATTCATGTCAACATCTATACATTCATACAATTAAAGCTAACCCGTTCTTCTAATTTGACAGCCAAATCAGTTTTGGTATTAAAAATAATTTGAGGGTTAATTTTGTATTTTACTTCCATCCCCTTCACTCTTTCTTAGTTTGATCTCTGCATCAAAGTTTACCGACAAGCAAGGGGAAGAAGAAACCAAGAAAAGAACATAGAAAAAAATGCCAAATGAAGAAGCTTTCATCGAGGCCATCGACCATCCCACCACCAGCACTTACCGGGTAAGGGTCATTAGTATAGCACATTCAAAAATAAGGGTCAATTGAACTCACTGAATTCTTAAAAAAAATAATTTAGTATAGGTATTTTAGTAAATTTTTGTGTAATTTACTTATATTTATCCACTAAAATTAATAAAAATCTTTTAAATAGTAAAAATTTTTCTTAAAGAAGCTTTTACTTTTATATATATATATATATATATATTATAAATTTTTTATTCAACACAATTTAATTACTAACAAATTATATTATCACATGGATTAATTGATTAATCTTTGACTTTACTTATTTGAAAATATTATTCACTTACTAATGAAATATTATCTCAATATAAGAAGGAAGCCGTCAAATCTTTAAGCTTTTATGTTCAAGTTTCACCAAATATGAATTTTGTTAAAGATTACATATTGATTGGTTAGTAGTTAATTCGGTTTGCTTATTGGTTTCTCTTCTTGATGTATATTAAAAATTATTAATTATGATTTTAATTTTTTCTAATACATATAATTTCATAAAAAAATTATTTACTTTTGTATCTAAACACATAATAAATGTTTTTATTTAGAAAAAAAAAAGATAAAAAAAAAAAACAAAGTAAACATGAAATGAAACATAACTTAATTTCATGAATGATCAAATCATAAACTTAAAATAATATCTCATTGTCATTGTATTTTTTTTTCTGAAGTAGCAAGATAATATATTTTACAATTTTATAAACTTAAAACTTTTATATTTAATATAGATTTTTTTTCAATAATATAATATATATGATATCGTGTTTACATAAGAAAACTTGAAATATAATCCCATTAAAAAAAATTTTGGCTATCCCCTTGACTCAATTTATGCATTATCATTCAACAATTAATAAAAACTTAGTTTTGATCTTTAAAATATAAAAAATAATTACAATATTAAAATTTGTTATCTTATTGCATAGTAACATAAAAAAATAAAATAATATATTTAAAAAATTTAAAAATTTTGTACTCTTGGGGAAGTGAGGGCAGCCCACATCATATATAATATTATATTATTTGATACATAGTTATTAGATAAAATTTATTGATGTAGAAGTTTACTTGAATAATTTTTTTTGACACGTAAGAAATGTTTAAAAATTTCTCTTTATAATAATACATAAGATTTTTACAAATTTAGACTATTTATCAAAAAAATATTTAAAATTTTATTTAATTATTTAAAACTTTCAAAATTTAAATAAAAAACAAATTCATATATATATATATATATATAATACAATTTATAATATTATCTATAATTAACTGTCTATTATTTTTTAGTGCAAGTGTTGTTCTAGTTTTAGCTATATCTTTTCGTAGAAAATATTGATTTTAAATTTTTAAGTCTTGGTTTCACATTACCAACATTTCTTTCTATCAATTTAAATGTAAAATAATTAAATAGATAAAATTATTTATTTAAAATAAAAATTAAATTCTAATATAAATTTAAAATTTTAAAAATTAATCTTATTTAATTAAAATTCATTAGTTATATAAATATATCTCTTTTTTAAATTTTAAAATCTCAAAATTATATATTTTCACCTTTATAAATTTTCTTATATTCATTTATTTTTTAAACGTTTTAAAATTTTAAAAAATAAATATCACTTATTATATTTTTTTTAATTCAAAATATATTTATCAATTTAAAAATTATCTATATACTTAATTGTCATGTGATAAACCTATAAATGGTATGGGTTGCACTATTATTTTTTTCGACTTAAAACTTTTCTTTGAAAAGTATACTATTATTTTTATAATTTTATTCTTATAAAAAATTAATATTTATTTCAATTTATTTTTCTTTTAACACTTATTTACTAACTTTTTTTTTTATATTTTATTTAAGAGTTTCGATCATTTATCATAAAGTGATAGTATGTTCATAAATATTTATTAAAATTCTTTTGTTTTTCAGGAAATTTATTAAAATATAACTTACTAGAATTAATTTTTCTTAAAATTATATTTTTTTGGATTATTGGTTTTTTTCCTTTAATTTTAACCTATTATCAAGAAATATTATTTTTTTACTTTTCACATTTTTCATATATTTCAAAAATAGTCTGCTTTGTTATGAATTAGTTTTGAGCTCATACAATTTGATTTTGATAAAATAAGTACTATCATTTTTAAAGGAAAAATACTTATTTTATTGCTTACTTCAATCCATAAATAATTATTTAAAATTAATTAATTAGATGCCAATGATAGAAATATTATGTTTCTTGCTTCTATTTTAAAATAAATTACTTAAGAGATGTTCAACTTAATTGTATCATATATCATCACTATTAGTCTAAAACTTATATACTTTCAATATTTTAAAGAATACTATAAGATAATTCATAAATCAAATTGTTTTGTCTATTACATTAGATTTTTTTCATTTTTATCATGTAAAAATATTTTTATACTCAACATATTTACTTAACCACTTTAGATAATTTATAATTCATGAATTAAACACTTTAGATTTTTTTTTCATTTTTTATCATGAATCAAATATGTTGGAATTTACTTTAAATCTCATAATCTCACATCGAAAGTTAGTGAGTTTTGAGTTTGTTTTGTGTTCCACATTAAGAGTTTAGTAAAGGTATAAGGGGTTTCACTCTTATAAATAAGATATTTTAGTTTTTGGTTTGGTAATCTCAAATAGTATATACCAAAAAAATAACTAGGTGAAAGGCTATTAAAATAGTATAATTGAGTTTTTGGATTAAGTTTTGAGTAAAGAGTTTTTTAAAACTCTTCTCATTCTAAAAATTTCACAGTTTGTAAAGATTTATTTGATAGTGGATTGGGTTTGGAGTATGTCATTTTGAGTTGGGCCAAAACAAATATATTTGTGTGTTTTTATTTTTGATTTGAACTTACTATTTTGTGTGTCGATGTTGCATGTGAGTGTTAATTTTTCAACAAGTGATATCAAAGCGAGGTTAGAGGTTTATGGTTTGTGAGCCTAAGAGATTGTGAAACAGTATTTCAAGATGTCTAAAGAAGGTATGTCTAGTATGCATATGCTAAGTTTGAGATTTCGTTATTTGATGAAAAGAGTAAATTTATGTTATAGCAAAGTATGATTTAAGATCTGTTAGTACAACAAGAGTTAGATTAAGTTTTAAAGAGTGATAAACCTAAAGGAATGTCTGACAGTAATTGAAATAGAATTCAAAAAAAAGTTGTTAGTATTATTAGATTGGCGCTAGTCTCAAAAATAAAGTATAGTATGTTGACTGAGAGTATTTTGAAGAGTTTTTGGGATAAGCTTGAGGGTATTTATGCTTCTAAGTTGTTGACTAACAAATTATATTTGAAGATGGATTTGTATTTTCTGAAGATAGAAGAAGGTACGAGTCTTTATAATCACTTGAATGAGTTTAATAGATTGGTTTCTCAGTTGCTGATCATTTTTATTGTGAGTTAAAAGATAAAGAGAAAGTTTTAATTTTGCTATCATCTTTATCCAAGTCTTATAGACCTTTAGTTCAAACTTTGTTGGTGGGTAGGTATACTTTAAAGTTAGATGATATGACTACTCTGTTACAAGAGAATGAAAGGTTTATGAGAGCACAGAACTCATCACCTGAGAAAAATACACTAGCTACATAGGGTTTTTATCGATGGAGGACTAAAAAAAAATTGATAAATCAAGAGGAAGATCCAAGTCAAGAGATAAAGATTACAGTGACATAAAATGTTATTATTACGGTGAAAATAGACATATTCAAGTGCGCTGCAAGAAGTTAAAAAAGGATATGATTACTTTCAAAATGACGAATGATAAGAAAAAATTGAATGAAGGAAATAGTGATACTACTGTCATCATATCTGATGATAATGATGTTGTTTTGACGACTTGTATGGATGAGACTCAAACTTTGAAAAGTGAAAAAGGTTGTGTTTTCGATTCTACTGCTACATTTCATGTTTACAATGATAGAAATTGTTTTATGAAGTTGGATGAGAATGAAAAGTACGGGGATATTGTGGTTGCTGACAACGAAAAGGTACAGATTCAAGGCATTGAGAGTGTTTGTCTTAAATCTCATAATGATGTTGTTAGGACGCTTCTTCGTGTAAGGTATATACTGAGTTATAGCTACAATTTGATTGCTTTGGGTGAGTTAACTTTTCGAAGATATACACACTTGGTAGTAATGATTTGTTGAAAGTATACAAAAATAGTAGTGTGATTCTACAAGGGAATATGATCAAAAATCACTTGTATATACTTGATGAAGGCTAAGTTGCTAGGATCCCTGTGATGAAAGAAAAAAGAAGGGCAAGCATGTTAGCTTTGCAAATATTGTTGAAGTGTTTGGAGATTCAAGTCAATGGTGGATTTATTGATATTTGACTTAAATCTCGTAATCCCACATCAAAAGTTAATGAGTTTTGAGTTTATCTTATATCTCACATCAGGAGTTTAGTAAATGTATAAGGGGTTTCACCTTTATAAATAAAATATTTTAGTTTTTGGTTTGATAATCTCAGATAGTTAGATACTAAAAGAATAGCTAAATAAGTAGGTTATTAAAATGGTATAAT